CCTATCACTTCTACAGCAGGTAACTTCACATCTAAATTTTCCTTGCCCATAACTTTACTCTCTTCTGTTATTGTCTGTCTGCTGTTTTCATTCATCTCTCATACTGTTTATATCTATATCAGTTAATCATCTGCCCACCTTCTAGAAATCTCTATATTCTCGACATCAATGTATTACACGCAACATTCAATAGTCTCAACATCAATGAATTATAAACACAACTTCCTACAATCGTCTGCTTTTAACTCTTATTATAACTAAAACTAATCAATAATAAAATATTCACTCACAAAATAAATTAATCAATAATATCTAAACTAAACAGTCTTTTATATCATGACACTACTGTATTATCAATGTATATGAATAAACTTGGCATCAAAACAAGGCTAATAAAACGAATTTTAATACAAGTTTTTAAATCTTAATTTTATAAGGAAATATTTTTAAAAATCATCATTTTCCTCAGTATTAGAATTGTGACATTTGCTTTATAAGTTTCCCCTCTTGTCATATTTATTTACTACCCCTTCAATTTGACCGACCCTGTATAGTTAAGGAGAAGAAAGTCACAGAAAAAATAGCTTTTCTGGAAAAATGTTTGATATTTATTTTGGAGGTTTTGGAGATTATGCAAGTGAAATTTGACAATTTTCAGATGAAGAAAAGTATTTTTAATCTTAACATGAAAATCACTTTGCACTCTGAACAGTCAACACTTTTAGTGAGTTTGAAACCATATATGCATGGAGAAATTTTTAGTACAAATACTTAATTAAAAAAGCTTATTTTTTGTTTACAAAAGACTTGTAATGTTTACTGATAATCTGAGAAATTTCATGAAGATATACATTATCAAATGTTACAGTCTGACTAATCTCATGGTTACTTTGGTGGTTGTGGATTAGATGTAATGCATCTAGCCCCTATGGAAAGCTAGTCCATTTATTGTATCTTAGGAAACAAAATAAGATTTAAACTGATTGAAAATCTTTCTCTTAGAAGCTGTTTAAAGCTCAATATGAATACTTGCTTCTAAATCAGAACAATTATGATATATCTGAAGAGTCTAGTAGCATCAAACAATAATGTGGTACTGACACGAAATGTAGAAGGTAATTCAACATTTTGTTTTTTCGAAAACAACCTTCAAATGAAATAGAAAAAATGGGAATTGTAATATACGTTCAAGCAAACCTTCACCAGCTTCTCATTTTAAATTATTTTCACCACAAATCCACTGTGCAATATTCAAACGATTTAAGAAGGAAAACTGTCAAGTATTTTCTTAAATAATTTCCTTTAAGTTAAAAGAAAATCAAACTTCTACTGGATAGACTCCAGAAACATGCAAATCACTCAAGATTGTAATGAAGAATTACAAGTACTATTACACTAGTGTAAAAAAAAGGTGTGTGATATGAATAAAACCTCAAAAAGAAGATGTTACATAATTTATAAACATATGAGTATTCTAGACATATGATTTATTTGACTCTTAATTTTATAAATCCAAAAACATAGAGAATGAACAAAAAATCAATATTTGAGTGTAATAAAGAAAGAGAAGAAGTTTTACTACTCAACTGTGCAACAACAGCAATGTCATCTTCATCACTGCTATGTTCACTACCAGTATCATAACCTCCCATGTAAACATCAGATCCATGTTTCTTCTTTGGATAAAGCTATTGCAAATGCATTAAAAATTCAAAAATTCCTTTTATTGTAAGGCTGTGAAAAACAACAGAGAAATCACCTTATTGTTTCAAATATTTAATTTTGGTTAATTGAAATTTGTTTCAAGATCACATAAAACACAAAATAGTTCACATATTATTAAGTATAGCTTTGTTTGAAATAAATATTTTTTTACATGTTTGAAATCCATAATTTTAAAAACTTAATTACATTTTTAAAAGTTTAAGGAAGAACTAAAATTCTATTCTCTAAAAAATAATCACTTTTCTTCTTTTTTAAAATATTTTTCAGTTTCAATCTAAAACTCACATAAAAGATTCTGACTTACCATATCATCTTTAATCCTATCTCGAGCATTCAACATTTCTATATCTTCCTCACATCTTTTTTTCTCTGGAAAATGTAAATAATACCAGATAATTTACTAAACTAATTTCATACAAACTACCATTAAATATAATTATATTCTAAGATAAAAACCTGAGTTTATAGAACTGAGGTTTCTTTTCCTTTTTTCATACACACGTATTTAATTATACATTATATGGTGGGTATTGATAAGAATTTATTTCATATGTGTAAAGCAACTTAGCACAATTGGAAAAATATGGTTAAGTAAAACCCATTTTAGTTTATCCCCTTAGAATAAAATTCTAGCATATAGTATAATGATGTTGTATAAACTCAAACTTAAATAATTCAATGAAAAGAAATGAAGAATAATTACAAAAAATATTTCCCATAGAAATGAAACGTCTTTTTTTTTTAGAAAGTTTATAGAAATTTCTAACTTTTTCTGTTTACCCCTGTATAGGTTCAAAAGTATAAAACAAAACAAAAATAAGCAAACTTTAAGGAAAACATAACTTGGTATAAAGACAACAGCTATGTTTTGTCATTTGGGAATTTAGATAAAAAAAATTTGTATAATTTTGAAATAATAGGACTCGAATATTAGACAATGTTGTGAATAAACTATAATTTCAGAACTTCATATGTATACTAAACTAAACTAGAATAAATTAACTTTCATCAAACAAACCATTGCACTTATTTGATTCGGAAGGGGTGAAAAATGGTTTCCAATGACGAAATGATAATTTTGTCTTGGCTTGTACTATATTACCCCTGTAAGCTAATTTTCTACATTAACTGGCAATTTCACTATAAAATTAGAATGATTCAGCTCTTACATACATGTTAGGTCCTTGAAATTTAGAAACTCTTATTAAATTTCCTCAAGCTAATCAAATAAAAAAACCTTTGTACAAACTATATAAAATTTGACCTAACTTGTATTGAAAAAAAACAACATAAAACAGCAAGTTTAACCCTAGCACAACAACTTGTGACTACAATAGTTCCAGTCTGAACTATAAATAATTTTCATAAGCATTTCTTAAAATTTCTCAACATATAATCATTCTTAAACTACTTCAGACTTCATAGCACTCTTACCTGGATGCTTAGTTATATAAGCTTCAACCAGATTTTTCACTAGATGATTACGACTTAACCTTTCCACCTGACATCGACACTACAACAATTAGAGGACAAGTTGACAATGAAAATAAACAAAGTAAGACGAAAGACAAAAGCTAATAAAAGCTTACTTTATTTTGTTCTTCATTTAATTAGAGTTTAAATCAGCAACTGGTTTAAGATTGTCTACAAATAAGTTATCTTTAAATTATTTTTTATTAAACCGGTTAAACCTTCATAATTGTCAAAAAGTAATTTTAAAATTATTTTCAGCCTTAGCATTCGTATTCATAATCCTTAATACTAAACTTGTAAATAAAAATATAGGGTCACATAGTGGTGAAGCCCATACAACTTAGACTGCTTTATAGAAATGACAATAATAAATAATTAATGTATATTTTGCTTTAATTCTAGAATCTATGAAATGAAATTATCAGTAATTCTTAAAGGACACCTAGAAATAAACTTTACATAATAAGAAATAACTCCAGTTGGTGATTCTCTTCAGTCTATTAAAAAAAAAGTACAAAGAGAGAAACTTCTCGTATATTATTTTTTGGAATCTTAAGTTTGTTCAACACAAGTTTTCTGAATATGTTGTTAAACCAATGATTCAAATAACATTATACTTTAATATTTAATTTACAATGTATCTGAGCTACCAACAATTAAAAAGCTCAAACTTTAATATCACGTTCATCTAAGAAAATTGACATAAAAACTATTAAAACAAGAACAAGTCTGTGTGGGTAGACAGTAAACTTGACACTCAGTGCTGATAACTGATAATTATTGAATCTATAGAAGATGGCTTAAAATTATGGCTAAACATTTCCAATTTAAAAACCTTAAATATAAAACTTATTCATCCTTTAAAAATAAAGTGGAATTGTTTTCATTAAAACAATAGCAATTTGGATCTTACCATGTGACCTCTTTGTACTCCTTTAGTCTTTATAGATTTAATACTTCTAACTTTCAATATAGTGTGTATATTTTCACAAAAGTTGGCATTCTTTCAATTAATATTATAAGGCTTTCACATATAAAAAAAATCATATTTTTAAGTGAAGTACTTTTAATAAAATAAAATAAAGATTTGTTCATGAATATATATTGAGTATTTGTTTTAAATAGTCCATGTGCAAGGTAATTTTCAAGTTAAAACTAAAAATACTTTTCCTCATCTCAAAAATCTCAAATTTCCTTTTTGTAATCCCTAAAATCTCCTAAATGCATCTCAAACGTTTTTTTTCAGTAAAACTTTACAGTTTATGTTATTTTCTCTACCCTATCTCAAAATGGGATCAGTCAATTCAACCAACCTCATAACAACCTCCCCCTCCAAAAATCGAAATAAACCTAAATTAACCTTTTTTTTTTTAGTGTCTTCAAATTTTAACATGAAACTACATTCATTTATTCATTTAAGTTCGTAATAGCATACATCTATTTATAATTAAATTTTATTGTTTTATTGTCCTTTGAACCTTGTCTAACTACTACCTGTGCCATTATAAGTTATAGATCACTCTCAGAATGTGCAGGTCGCATTATGCTATCAAATTAAATTACCCACAAGTTACTATGAGCTGCTCGCATGCATGTCTCATGAACCATTTTAGTTATATTGTTATTATTAGTATTTTACCTAATCTAGTCTTAAATAAATCCATATTCTTAGATTTTTAGTTACTTTAGTAACAATAAATAAAGAATAAATATGAAAAACAAAAAATAAAATACTTACCCAATCTTCTTTCTTCTTGCTGTCAAGTTTTCAAAGAGAGTTAACCCTAATTTTTATAACTATAGGTAGTAATGCACTTAATTTTTATTTAATTAAATAATGCACCAAAGAACATATACTAATAACATTCAAAAAGTAGACAATATCCCCTAATTCTCAAAGTTTTTCTGGCTTTCTAACTATGCGACAAGAGTCATTACAAAGGCATCCAAGCTAGCCATTGTCATTCCCATGGGAACCAAAGTTGTATTAGAAGTGAAACTGTTTATTCTGTGTTCAGAACACAATGTAATAGAATACATCATTTGATAGATGAAAACCTTGACTTTCTATTGGTTGTAAGTAATATATATAATTAAACATAAGAGAAAAATATTAACAAATCCTGAAAGAGAGGATGTGGCAGGAGGGGTCTGATTTTTTATTTGATAGCTCTGTAACCAAGCAAAATTGAAGACTATAAAAATTATGGTTTGTCTGAGCAATAATGATTTTATAGAGTAATTTATGTACTTTTTTGAGGGGTGGTGGGTAAAATAGGGATGATGACATGCTAAGAGAAAATGTGTCAGAATGATAATTTCCTGAAAGCAGCTGAGCCCAAAAGCAGAAGCACACAGGAGTTCAGTGAACACCTAGGTTCCAAATTATGGGTGTCTGTGAGTCAAAGCCCCTACAATCTTTAGAGGTTTGACCACTCAAAATTACATTACCTGGCACATCTGACAACTGCTATTCAAGTTTTAATGCAACTGACACTTTTATTCAGAAAAAAGATGTATCTACATATTTTCAATGGTTTTACAATTGTCCAGTTTAAACTTAGTTTTAGTTTGAATATCAGCCCTTGATAACATTGTCTGTCTCTCTAATTCAATATAACTAATAAATGTCTCTCTGAATTTCTTCACACAAATAATAAGACACCATAACAATACTGCATAATATTAACCTATCAAATATGTAGTCATATCAGTTTGCAGAGAAATAATGCAAGCTAAAACCAAAAGTTAATTTACTATCATGATCAATCTGCATTTACTTATTATTATTTATAACTCCTCCTACCACAGTTAGAAGTTGTGTCTACATTGCTAATATTGAAATGCAACATCTAGTACAACCAGTACTTGTAGTAATATTATACATGATAATTTGTATAATACTGCATAAGCATAATTATAAAGCAAGTGATGTGTAGTATGAAAAATACTACTTTGCCAAGAAGAGACTCCGATTGTCACTTTTACTTTGATTAAACTCCAAACTTTCAACTACAGCAAAGTCAGCCAAAACATAAGAGAATTATAAAGAAAACAAATGGTATAGAACATTCACACTTTAGAACTTACTTGTGGACACTCGTTAGACACATCCATCCACTCCGAGTAACAGCCAGAGCAATAACAGTGCATGCAAGGTTGAAGACTACAAGAAAAGAAAATTTAAGCCATATGTAAATAATTGAATATAAAGTTTTGTTAAAAACAATAATTTCAAACAGCTTTTAAGGTAGGTGTTTTCACAGAAACTACAATTAATCTGAGAATGTAAACAACCTGTAATGATTTTTCCTTTTCCTTGCATACGTGGATAACATTACTTACTTTGAAATTTTCTTGGACCTGCAAAAAAAACTTGGATTAATTTTTTTTAAATGTATGTAGTCTATCTTTCAGATAGAAATATATAGTAGTAATCATTGTAACATATTTTCAAGGATAAATTATTCAATACGATTCATTAATAATGGTTCATCTACAATTTGTGTAATTGATATAATGTATTTTTCTGAGCACCATTACTTATTTCATTAATTTAAATTTTTTCTAGTATCTAATAGTTAACATGTTAGCAGCTATATCAAGTGGTTATTCTTTCTGGATCGATATGAATCTAGAAATATATTACTACCATCATGGAAGTCGTAATGTGCTATCACTGGGCTGACCTGACCTGTGGGTCCAGCATAATTAATCTAAGGATGTATTATTATATTCCAGCAGTGGTAACCACATTTTGCTGATCTCTGTTTTTAGATTATTCAAATGGTTTTTCTTAAATGGAACATCTCTTTCATTTCCTGTTTCTTCTTAGATGGTTTACAACCTGGGTTCTTAGTGTGTCCATTTATTGTATCACATAGTTTTCTTTTTCTTTCATTTGATTCTATTATCAATTTAGTTAATTAGCAAAATTAGTGCAATATTCACCTATCTAGGTTCTTGCTGTAATTGATAATATTAATTTCTAAGAGCAGTTCATTGTAATCACATTCACAGATACATCTATATACTAAATTAGTACATATTGAAAATGATTATCACAATTTCACTGGTTGGTAAAATCCTAGGATTATTATGATTTCTGAATGTTATATTGTTTTTCTGACATCATACTGCTTATTATTCCTTTATTTTGTAATAGTTCTTTGTTTTAGTTAAGTTGCTGTACACTTGTAGCTTGTTTCCTCCTATGTATTGTGAACTTGTTGTCAAACATAAAGCTAAGTAATGGGCTATCTGTCTTATGCCCACCACGAGTGGTATTGTGAATTTTAAAGAAACAATTTTTTTGCATGACTAATTGTTGATAACCATTTGCTATTTTCTGTTTTAGTTTAGCTTCTTCTCACTTAAATATATTTTATTCATTCTAGAGCCTGTTAAGTATACATAAATGAGTGACTTCATCTACAGTTGTTGCCTTATCTAGTGTGGAAAATTTATTTCAAGATTTATCCACAATTAAAATGTAGATAGAGAAAATACAATTCACTAACTAAATTTTAAAAAAATTACATGTAAAACAGCTTAAAAACCTGTAAGAGTAAATCATATACAGACACAACTACACCCACAGTAATACAACATAACACTATAGTTAACTTATGTAAACAGATGCTAACTGTAGAAGAACAAATATTCTATTGAAGAATAGTCAAAACAAGTCAATGAAGATTCACAACACCCCAGAAATATATTATACGGTTAACCAAAAAATAATTACTAATTTATGTAAAGCAATAATGAGTTCAATATTTGATTAAAAATGGCAATAAAAAAAGAATGATGAAACTGCAAGCATCAAATGTCACAAATGCTGAAAATACTATTTTAAGATCCGTAAACTTTCACATATTTACCTAGCTGATAATGGATTGCCTTTATCAATGTCACAGTACTTATGGAGAGAGAATAATACAATGAAACAATATAAGCCACCATCAGATATACTAAAAACATGGTAACTTGAAAAGTTACATGATAAAAAACAAAAAGGAAATCTCACAAAATACCTCAAAACAAGGAAGAATCTGTTAAATGCAAACATAAAAAAAGTCCTGGCTGAGAAAGTTAAAATAATCAGGATCTGTCATATGATGCAAATAAAACCTTAAAATGGACAAAATTAAACTTTTATTTTATTTTCAGTCATTTTCTTGCTGTTTCAACCTCTGCTGATATCATTATTGCTCTGAATACTTTTATAATTTACAACTTCTCCCAGAGTAGGAGTTTAGTAATACCAGCTAGTTTGTTGATTTACCAAACTGATTGTATTTTTCTTCATTTTAAATATTATGATTGGACAAAATGTTTAGAATTTAATAGGGAAGATTTCATTTTAAATATTAAACTACTTGGATAAGAAAACAGCTTATTTTGTTTATCTTCTTATATGTTTACTTTTTTATGAAAATGTCTTGAATTGACTTTCCATTTTTTTTCTTTCTGTGGTAAAAATATTAAGTACCTCTCTTGATATAAAATTATAGTTCAAAAGTATAAGGCCAGTGAAAAATACATCGTATTTAATACTTAAGAAAAACTGCATATTTTTATTATATTTGTAAGCAGGAAAAAAACTTCTGGTAGATACAAGAGAAATATTTTTAATGTTATCAAAGTAGATCACCAAGTTCTTACCAAACAGGATTATAGAGAAGTTCCAAACATAAACTACATACTAAAGCCTCTTCTAATCCATCACTTTCAATAGACTTTGGATGAACTTTTACATAACTATCAGATTCCCGAGAATCGTTTCTTGAATGATCACTGTCAACAGTGGCTCTCGTATCATTGTCTTTCTTAGGCAAGTGATGACCCTCTTGGAAATCACTTGGTAAGTGCTCAGCAGAAGGTAACACTGGACATAATCTGGCTCTTTTTCTCGTGGGAGAATTTTCCTAAGAAAATCAGGAATTTAATGGTCATTAGCAAAATTTAAACATTTATAAGTTTAATACTTATTTTTTATATACTTGAAGTATTCATTAGACTCAAAACAAAGAATTTTACTTCAACAGTTTTATTTTTAGCTTTGCAAAAGACTAGAGGGAAGACATTTTAAGTACACTGCTCATGAATGTTACGTATTCAAGTAGCTGTTATCAGACTTTCTACGATAAAAATAAAATTTGTACCCCCTCAGCTTTTAAGATAAATATTTCTAAAATATTTATTGAACAAATTGCTTGTGGGTCCATAACTTTGTTGGCAATAGAATTCTTAATGATATGCAAGTTACACACACAAACACACATATACAAATTAAAATAAATATAAATATTACAGTTAATTCCACTAATTATTCCTGAGAACCACTATGTATTTTATGTGGAAAATGGACGATTTCACAATTTTTTGGGTTCAGTTTTTACATTTAGTGTTGTGACACCCAAAACTATTCAATACAACATGTGGACTCTCACTGATGATGAACATTCTAAAATCAAGTTAGTAAGTCAGAGGTTAAAAACATGCATAGAGATATACCAAAGAATAATTGAAAGATACTGACTTTTATCACTGATCACAATAAATTATATTCTTGACAGAAATTATGTACTTTTCACTATTTAAAAATGCATTGTTGTATTTCCCTGTAGAATAATAATACTAATTTTCTCTCAAAGATCTTTTTTTTTACAATCATTGAATACATTTTGTACTACAAATAAAAGATGGGGAAAAATAATTACTTGAAAAGAAGACCATATCAATTTTTACAATAGACCAAAAACAACTTTCCATCCAACATAAAATAAGGCCCATGCAAAAATAATTGTTACAGATATTTGAGAAATTAGTATTAGTATTATTTTAAAAGCCCCCCTTTTTTAATTCAATGTAATTGACATTTTCCTAAAAGGGGGAGGAATTACTTTGAATTGTAACCTACACATAATCACTTTCACAATTATTTTTAAAAAAGGAAAGTGTCCAAACAAAATATACAGTTTTTTGTTAATACTGCATCATCTATTGATTACAAAGTTTGAATTTCTAAGTATATAATTTAGGTTCCCATTGTTTAACCCTTTCTGAACTGGAGGAGCATGACCAATATCCTCATTTTTTTCCTGTTTTAATTTGATTTAGTATCTATAATTTTTAGACAATGAAATTTCCAAAATTTTGTTAAACAAACTGCATTAACGAAATGTCAATCAATTTGAAACTGACTTTATATATGAAATGGAATTTTCTTATCAACAATAAAAAAATATGAAATCCTAAGACAAAAAATATTTTAATGTATTTTTTAAAATAATATCTTGCAACAAAATTTGGGCCCGGTGGTAAGAGTGCTTGAGTTGCAATCTGCAGGTCATGGGTTTGAGTCCCTGTAACCCAACAAGCTTGCCCTTTCAGCCATGGGGGTGTTATAATGTGATGGTCAATCCCATTATTCATTGGTAAAAGAGTAGTCCAAGAGTTGGTTATGGGTAGTGTTAACTAGCTGCCTTCCCTTTAGTCTATCACTGTTTAATTGAGGAAAGCTATTGCAGATAGCCCTCGAGTAGCTTTGGGCAAAATTCAAAACAAATGATACTTTATTTTGCCAATTGCTATAGTCACTACTTCTGGCTATACATTATAACGCTGACTAAGATTTATTGGTGAACTAGGACCCCAACTTTCAAACCTACATCACTGTTACCTTTGTTTGGCTAGGTATAATGATTTTTGCTAACAGGACTTAGGCAAGATCAATTTTTATTTTAAGAAATATGGTTTCATTTCAATAAATAATAGGTTTATTTATTTGTGTGTGTTGTTTGAATATGATAAACTTAATAAGAATATTCAATAAATAAGAATTCGAGTCAATGTACTTGCTAAACCTAATTAAGATAATATGATGTGTTCTGTAATTTTCAAACACATATAACTGTAAAACAAATTCTCAGTTCTGTGGTTTCTTTCTAAATCTTCTAAACTTCCCATTAGCTTCCTCTGTTCACTCCTATAGAAGTTCTGGGTATTCAATTCATGAAACCACAAATTAAGGCACAAGCTACTTCATTTACTCAACATTGACAAATATTTATAACCTGCTCTACCCAATCACATTTAAATATTGGCTATATCTATTTTCAAAACTGAGTTTCATTAGTAATTGAGAACAAATGCTGTGACATTACAAAAAGATAGCAACCTAGAGCTATTGTAATAAAACCACTAAAATGGAAGAAAAATCATGTGAGAAACAAGACAAGAACCATTATATCCTCAATAGATGATAATTTCTTAGGTAATATAAATCTATACTTTGGGATGGGCATCAATATTCTAAAGACAAAAAGATAAATGTGTTGTTTACACAGGAGACTCTTCAGTAACATGCAGAAATGAAAGACGGAGCTTTTTTACATTTTTCTTTGTTGGCTACATTAAATAAATGCAACATAATAACAAAATATCAATTCTAATATATTTTTGAGTTAAAAATGACTGAAATAGAGTTAAAACTACTTTTACCTAAATTTTGTTACTTAATATGCAAGTGTCTGAGGTGTACTCTCAAAACCTGAGAGGTGTTCACCAGTTGTGATAGGCTAAACTTTTTTCATAGAGAAAACATTTCTAAAGCAAGGTTTCCAAACCATGCCTGACATATCAAAGTTAAATAATAATATAAATCTATACTTAGATACCTGAAATAAATTATAATAATACACAGATTCAGTCCTCCAAAAAGAAAAATTGCCAAGTCATATGATTTGCTGGCAAAATTAAGGGAAAGTGTGATATCCAAGATGAGTATTGCCAAGAATTAAAATTATACTGCAATAAAGTTATTGTTCAAATTAGAAAAAAAAAGTATTATTTTGGTTGCTTAATTTTGATAGAAATATTTTATGTTAAATGCCTTGGACTATTGACATGAGAGTCACAACATAGAAGTACATACAAACAGCCATAGATATCTATTGCTTCAATACCAGGATTCAGAGCAATAAAAGAAAAAGTACATTTACAATATGCTATTTTATATAAACAACCAATATTTACAACTGAAAACATAAATTAAAATAAATAAACTTCTATGCCCGTGTCAAATTATGTAGTTGGTACTTATTTTTGTACAGTACATTTGTTCTTTGAAAATTACTTAGAATGTTTCCAAATTATATACACATTACATATGGAATGTGCTCTGTTAAAACTAATTTAAGTTCAACAGAATTATTCCATAGTTAGTTTGAAAAACAGTTTCACATGGAATAATTAACTATGGAGAGCCATTACAGTCAGTTTTACAATCAAGTTGTTGAAATAAACTACCCATTTTAAAAATTACTACTTTACTTGTGGTAAACTACATTTTTTCATTTCATCATTTAAAAAGAAATCCACAAACCAGATACTTATACATTTCAATTTACATTTTGTAAACAAAAACACAACAACACAAACGCATACCACAGCTGATGAATCTGAGAGTGAATCCGACAGTGACAAAGTACAGTCCTCTGCAATATTGTTATCATCATGGCTAAGATGTATGACATAATGAAGATCTGAAAAAACAAAATATTACTCAAAAATATTCCCAATATTTAAGATATATATTACACAGTTACTTCCTCATCATTATGACCTCATTAACTTAATTTTTAAATTAATCTATAAATAAAATTACATTTTTCTCAATCTATCACAAGGACACAAAGTTTTGAATAAATGTGTTCTAATTATTAAAAAGAACAGTAAGGGTACAAAATAGTGGTGTAAATAAATACAAATAACATACTGAAAACAAACATTATGAAGTATAAACTAATGCAAAGTACAATAAAAATTGCTTTAAGGAGAAATCTCAGTGTTTCATCCTTTTTTTTTTCTTATTTGCATTTATTTTAACTGCAACACAAATCAATTACCTAAGCAAACTTTGAGGGAAAAGGAGTAGCTATATATTAGTTTTTTTTCATTTCACAATTTACTTCAATATTTAAACTTCTACTGAGATAGTTAAACTGGTAAACAAATCTGGTAGTTTTAAGAATTTGCTCTAGTTTTAATACTTGAGAACCCTTAATGATAGTGATGCCATAACTTTAACATTCTGCAATGGAAGTTTTTATTTATCTGGTAATGCTGAAAGAATAAGGTGCATTAAAAAAAATCACAAAATTTTAGTTCCAGATACATGGAACATAATAAAAAATTAAAACAAACATAAACTGATCATTGTTAGTACACATTTTCAGTATAATAAATTAATAAATATCATTGCAGTTGTTACTTTAACAAGGAATTTTCTTTCACAACCTTCAATGGATACTACATTTAATGGAGATAAATCCAGTGAGAATAATCAGAATTATAATTAAAAATAAAATCCAATAATACTGAACTGTATTTGTGTTTAATTACAACAAATATTTTATATACAATGGCCTAAATCTAAATAGTTCTTATCCTACATTTCAATCAGTTGTCAACACAAATATTCCTTCTCAGGACTTCCCTGAATATATCAGAATATTGCAGCTTAAATGGAGGATAAAAACCAGTTAATAATTAGTATCTAGTTATAAAACAAGATAAATGAAAATATGAAACTTACTGACTAACTAGTAATTAGACTTATGTAATATTATAGGCTGTACATGACAACAATTGATATTGGAATGTCACAATCTTACGTACTTACTGTTTTATTGTGTACTTGTATAAGTTGTTTTTCTTTGCTGCTCATGTTCATTCTAAATTAATTAATTAATTCTACAGCATTATCATCATTCACTATAGCAGCTTGTATGTACTAAATGTAGGAGGTAATTATATACATAAATTTATAACAAGCAGTACAAAGAAGACTGATAACAGAAACTTATCCTTTAGCAGAATCATCGAAGCTGAATATTCACAACATTTATATTATTTACTACACAAGATAATATTGAAATGCAACAACCTACACAGTGGTAAGAAATATTTGCTTGAATTAAAAATATCTGAGAAACCTTATTGTAAAATCTATGATATTTTATCACATATACTTCAATTTTATTTAACTGAATACTATGTTGCATATATATATACAGCAAACATACCCATTTCTTATCTGAAACAGAACAATACTGGATGATGTTTTAACATTCACATAATATTGTCTTAGCACTAGCCAGCAGTCTACACATTTTGTTCTACAAGTAACAAAATTTGGGGATTTTGTAGAAAGATAGTAGGAATAAATGCTCTATTCTGTCTTTGGTTAACCTGTATCTAAAAAATAACCACTTATAAAACACAAAAACATATTTTTAACATTTCATTACTTATCTGAAACAGGTAAACTTAAGGAAGTTTGAAAGGGAATATCCTTTCTTCATTGTGGTGCAAAATTTTAAACTCGCATGCAGATACTATCACACTTTTTAAGGCTAAAAGCAAAAATATATAGTGTGTCCCATATAAATGCCTATGGCAGTGCTCTAGAGTTTAGAGGGGCATACAGATGAGTTTATAGAAGTTAAAAACCTTTGTATTTTTATCTGTGACTAACTCAAATATTATAAATTTTCTACAATATATATGAAATTCATTTGTTTTAATAACTACATTTAGCATTCAGCATGCAAATATTTTACCTGCATACATAATAAAAATACCAGACAAGTAAGGTTGTAACCATTTTTTTTTAATAAAACACTGTTGTCCAAAAGAGCATACAAGTAAAAATAAACCATCTACTTATAGCAAATACCTTTGACTGAATTGTTATTTATTTCTCCCTTCCTTTATCAGGAATTTTAATAACACCATAACAATGGTTGTTAAGCCACATTTTGTAAAATAAAAACCTTACGTTCAACAGAATGAATTCTGAAAACTTCTAACAGTTATTGTTGTTATAAAAATAAAGTAATTATAAGGTGATGTAACCAGCATGAATAATCAAAAAAGGTAAGCCAAGAGAGGATAAAATTTTGAAATCAGTTTTGTTTTGTAAAAGTAATTTTAGGCAGTAATTTAAACACACTATAGTTTCCTTACCAAGATCTGGATCTTTCTTCTTGTGTATTAAGTATAACTCATCCCCATCTTTTACCTCATGCTTCTGAAATTTGGAAGTAACCAATATAACTATTCAAATCTCTTTATGTTTTTTGTACACCTAATTTCTCATGAGTTGAAATATTGTAAATATATTTTTCCTTCCATAAGTTACACTATAGTCGAACATGTGAGAGATTAATGTCAGCTTGAGTGTGTCTTGTGGTCATTGTCTTTAAACAGTTTATTATGAAAAAAAATATATATTATTTGTTTAAACAAGGCAAACACAAATAACAGTTATCATGCTGTCTAGTTATTCACGCACACCACAACTCTACGGCATTCCTAAACCACACAAACAGGACTGCCCCCTACACCCTATACTGTCCACTTATG